ACTCCCACGTAGTTGACCATGGTTTGAGTCCTGGACCCAGTGGCTTAAAACTCATGCCAGGCCCTTGTGCATGCATGCTCAAATTCCCAAGGGCAAAATGGAGAAGAAAGGATTGCGACGTGGCCATCCACTCTGGGGAGTGAATGTTCGCTTTCTGTTTCTCCAACAAGCATACTCCTATAGCAAGCAACTCTCTACAAAAGAGAGAGAGAGAGAGAGAGAGAGAGAGAGGTGATCAGATCTCAAGGAGTTGACTCATGGGAAATAGGAGGTATAAAACTAAGCTAGAGCTACAAAATGTGGACTTAATAACTTACTTTTAAAAATTATAATGCTCACAGGAACCAGTAGTATTTACTCTGACCTGATTAACATATGACCTACTATCAGCTTTCTGAGCAAACCAAGTCATAACCGAGCAACTCATCATGGGAAGTGATGGTCATCCAGCCTAGAAGTACTTAACATTTTCTTGGTCACCTCACTTTGTCAATGTGAACAAGGCCTACATAAGAATATAAATGATTGGTGGTGAGCACCACATTAGAAAAAGGAGTGATTCCATCAGTGGATTTCAACGCTGGCTCCCCTGAGACTATTTTATGAAACAGATTCCTGGGTGCACCCGAGGACAGGTGGGCCTAGGTGATTGTGATGAGCAGCCATGACTGAGAACTATTGAGTGACATGGTTCAAAGGTTGAAATGCTAATGGATGTCAGTTTATGAGAACTTAATACACGTAAATCATTTTGGAGATAAGAAATAAGTGAGTTTAGTTAAAATCTCTTCTCTTTTCCCTTCAACAGACCAAATTCATGATCTGCACATATATGGCATTGCCACTAGTCAAGGAGGTTGGGTCATGATTGCAACAACAGGAGCATCAGGGCTGGTGCCCTTAGATCCTGAATTGGGCAGATGTGGCAAATGGGACCCTGCCAGCAGAGAATGTAGTGCTGCCCATGGCAACAGCAGGAGTAGGTGTGTAGGGAGTCAGGGAGGAGGAAGGCCAGTGTTCCCAGATACTAAGTGGGATGCACAGAAACCCCATTGATTGAGGTAAAAGGGTACAGGCAGCAGAGGTACCAGCTGCATCTAGGTGGTGTCCTCCAGCCCTGGGTGAGGTGCACCTGCACATGAAGGCCATGCTGGACAAGAGGATGGGACCTGGGGCATTGGTGGCAATGGTGTTCGGGCTGACAACTCTAGTCCCTAGGCAGGTACATCGGGCGGGGGGATAAGTTTATGGGGGAGACTAGTTTCTGGGGGACACTTTCATCAGTTCCCCAGGTTCCAGGACATCTTCCACACTTTGGCAGACCATTTGTTCCTCAGGGTGAGTGTTGCAGGGGCTCAGGAGCCGGCATCGCTGCTGTGTACTGGGCTTGACCACCATGCTGGCTCTGTTACCATTTTGCATAGGTATGATATGGTACCAACAGGACCTCAGGGACATGGAGGTGCAGGCTCTAGTGACCCCAAGGACAGGGTATGCTTTAGGTATGGCTCTGCCTCCGACATGGCACTGTCCTTTTTTTTTTTTTTTGAGAGATTTTTTGCTAGAGGGCACCAGAGAGACAAAAAGCAAGAAATTACACCCCAGGGCAGGGATGGCCACACCATAATCCCTTCTCCTCTATTCTCCTCTTGGGATCTTGGGCACACACACACATGTGACCAGCATGAGTTTTAAGCTGCTGGTTCTGGGACTCGAATCCCAGTCGACTACGTGAGAGTCCAGTGACATAACCATTACGCCAATTGCTGGTCCTTGTGTTCCCATTTTGGAGATAATGCTAACAGAGATGAAATAACGTGCTCAAAATTATTGGACAACAAATTTTGACTCTAATTCCTGTGTTCTTCCTATGTATTCTGTCTCACATTTTAACATTCAAAGGGCATTTTTTTTACCTCATTTTATATTTTCTTAGAGAAATTCTTCATAATTGTAGCATTCAAGTGCTAACAACAATCACTGTAACATAATTCAGTGAAAACTGGATTTTAATATGAGTTGAGGCAATCTTGGATGCCTGCCAAAAGAATTTACCAAACATGATTGAAAAACTGAAGGGAAGCATTTATAAACAAGATTCATGTGTGGGCCCAGATGGACCCCCCCCATAAGATTAAAGCTCAATGTGATAAATTGGAAGGAAAAACAGAGACAATATTCTAAGTGTAGCTTCTTTGTACTATAAACATGCCTTCTTGAGCTGTGTGCATATAAATGCCAAGAAGAAAATTCTTTGACGTAAGACTCATCATTTGAATTTTCCTCATATATTCAGATATATGAGAACAATACACTTAAATATGATTTTACAATGTACTTCTCAGTCCTCAGGTATTTCCCAAGTTAAATGTTATTATTAAAATCTTCCCAGGAGCTATTGACTAATTTCACATTAATTCTTGTATTAACGTGTCACCTCTCACCCAGCTGTGTAAGAAAGAGGGCAAAGAGAGTCAGGAGAGGAGAAAAGGAAATAAGAAACTGACTTTGGACCTAGGTGCTTTAGTCAAAGAATTACTAAATATGTAGATTATATTTCAGAAGTGGGATCCTCCTTAGCATGAGTTTGCTTATTCCAAGAGAACGGAACATTTTCATTAATGACCCCTAGTATTTACAGTTGATAGTCTACCCAGGAAAAAAATTGGTGCCATTCAATAAATTTTAAATGGGTAGCTGCGACTCCATTTATCAGTCTAACAAAGTGACACAAAATTCTGAGTTTGCTTTGTTCTTACCACTTGATACTTCTTTAAACATTGATTTGTAAATCACACAGGCTCCTGTGTTCTAGGATCAGGTATTAATGGAAAAGAAACCATTGGGAAAATGTAGACAAAAGTTTGCTGTATGTAATTTTGGATTAATTTATAGCTGCAGTCATTTGTCACCATGACCTTGGTATGACAATCTAGACTGGAAGGTTACTTTAGAAGATTAATTTTTTTAACAGATTTTTGCTAAAAAATGTCTCCATGTGCTAGCCAGGGAGACAGAGAGACAGAAAGTGAGAAATCACCTTCCAGGAGGCATAGCCCGGCCACCATCCTTTCTCCTCCATTCTCCTCATGGGATTTTGGGTACCCATGCACATGCACCTGGCATGAGTTTTAAGTTGCTGGGTCCAGGACTCAAACCATGGTCAACTATATGGGAGTTCAGCAACATAAATGTCATGCCATCTGTTGGTCCCAGAAGATTGAAATATTCTAAACTTTTTTTTTTCCCTCTTTCATTTGTCTCCAATCACTTGCATGTCAGAGCTATATTCTTCTAAGCAGGGATCTTCAGAAACTTTTCATCCTGCATTTCTGTTTATTAAAAAAAAAAAAGAAAAGCTGGCTAGACACTGTGGCACAGCAGTATCGCTAGCACCCTCACCCTGCAGTGCTGGAAGCTGTATGGTGACTGCGGTTCAGATCCCAAGTTGGTCTGAGAAACAGATTGAGCATATGTGCGGGTGCTCAGGATCCTTAGGAGGATCCTTAGGAGGTAGAAGGCTGAGGAGAGGAGGTCTGGAACTTAAACGGTGCAGTCAGACACGTAGAGTCCAGCCCCAGTCCACCTAACCATTTAGTCCATGGGCTGGACCCTCAAAATTTAATATGCATAAAAGTTGTGAGGGAAACTATTAAAAAGGCAGATTTTGATCCAGTAGGTCAGGGGTATGTCCTGAGAATTTGCCTTTTTAAATTTTGGTTTTTAGAGAGGGCCCCACTATTTTGTGATTCTTCTGCCTCGGCCACCAAGTAGCTAAGACTGCAGGTGCACAGTATCACACCTGGCTTCTTAGGGTGAATCCTTTATATAAAATGGTATAATATTTGCATATTACTTAAGCATATCCTCCTTTAAATCATTTCTAGACCACTTAGAATGCCTAATGCAATGCCTACACCTCACTTTATTTTATAAACTCAGTGTAGTATTCAGTACACAGTAAAATGAAATTTTATTCACTGAAACAATCTGGGATTGTTTTAAAAATATATTTTTGTTCCAGAGTTGGTCAAATCTACAGATGCAGAACCTACAGTTGGATAAAATACTACTTAACCTGTCTTTAATTGGAAAGGTGACTGCTGCGAGATGTCTCAGTGCATCAGGGGGTGACTTTAAACTTCCATCCATCACCCACGATGGAAACTTCAATGTCATCTTTAGTTTTCTCCCTTTTCTTCACTTGGCCATGATTAACTGATGGCTAAATAATTTTAGTTCTATTTCTTCGAGCCCTTTGGAATCTGCTTTTCATCTTTTCTAGTCCTTGTGCTAGTACGGCCTTATCTCTTCTGCTATCTGCAGTCTTCTTCACAAATCTAGGTCCTTCTGAACTCAGTTCATTCTCTGGATTGCTATCAGAGTAGTAGATCCCAAATAAAGATTCAATCAATTAATTCTCCAGCTTTAAAACTTTATGAAACTTCCTGTCACAGGCCCAATGCAAGGTAATTAGTCTGGCTTTAGTCAGATAGCTTAGCTTTATCATCTGTTGTTCCTCTTTACATACTATAGCCACTTGGAACTGTTTTCTGAAATCACTGAGAAAATATACAATTTTCCTCTGGAAAATAATGGATCTCAAGGAATACACAAGACCTGCTGGTACTTGGGGTTTTGCTTGTTTTTATGGGAGAGTCTGAGAATGTAATGAAAAGGGGAAAAATAGAATCAAGCGATAGATACATGAGAAACAAATAAAGATAGAGATAGAGAAGAAAGAGAGAGGCCAGGAGAAATGACAAGAGTATCTGACGTGTGGACGCAGCCATTCCTGAAATAGTTGGCATCTAGACACAGATAGAAATTTATGTAAATTTATTTCTTACAATGAATTTCTGATTTTGGGGAAAAGTCGTTTGAGGTGGATTTCTGAGGCTTGCCACAGAAAGCCTCCTGACTGATACAATAATTCTGATAAAAATGGAATTCTGATGCCATTTATTATTATAAAACTGTATATGTGATTTTCTTTGTAGCTAAGTTTGACCAAAATGAAGAGCAGATTACAAATAGTCCTGGTGGCCTAGAGTCGGAGGGAAGGAAACAAAGACCGGTAAGTATTGGATTGTCTGAAAAGTAATGGCATATTTTTCTGTTTTTCTATACAAAATTGTGTCATGATTTTTCCAACGACTCCATAGTTTATATCTATGAAGTTTTTTTTGTTTGTTTGTTTGTTTTTTAATTTCTGATTGGTCTATCTTTAAAAATTGTCCAACCAGGGGCTGGCAGGTGATATGGTGATTAAGGCACTGAACTCCCACATGGCCAATTGTGGTTTGAGTTCTGAACCCATCAGCTTGAAACTCATGCCAGGCACATGTAGTGTGCATGCCCTAAATCCCAGGAGGAGATTGGAGGAGAAGGGATTGTGGTGTGACCCTCCTCCTTGGGGAATGATTTCTCACTTTCTCTCTCTTTGTCTCTGGTGAATTCATGCAGCCTATGGCAAAAACACAAAATAAAATTAAACAAAATAGTCCAGATAGATCTCTAAATACTTGGAGTTCAATATAAATTATGATACTTAGAGTTCAATATGTATTTGTATTATAGGTGTCGAACACGATTAATCATTAAACAAAAGAACACACATTTTTTAGAGCTAGCTATTCTTCTTGCTTCCAATATTATTAATGGGTGAGAGGGTAGGGAGGAAGATAGGAAATAATTTATACCTATTTTTTTTTTCACTTTGCATCTTTCCTGAGTAACATAGTGACCATCCCACTGCAGATGATCATAAGCCTCTAGCTTCTTGATATCAATTGCTGTTGTGACTTTGAAAATTCCAGCTCTATTCACAACTGGATTATGCATTGATTATGGTCACAAATGGAATCTCCAAAGCCAACAAGGTTGATTATCTCAAATCATTTGACCCAAAGAAACATACTATTAGAAAGTCTGCAACGACCTATGACTTTTGACCCACTGCAACTTGGTGGCCACAAGAAAAGCCCTTGTGGCTTTCAGCAAGAGCTGATATTTTAAACTATACAGCTTTTCTTTATCTTAATAAATTTATCTTTTATCCATCATAATGAACTGCTTGCTAAAAGCACACCTTGTTGGGACCAACAATTGGTGTAATGGCAATGTTACTGGACTCCCATGTAGTTGACCGCAGTTTGAGTCCTGGATGCAGTGGCTTAAACTCACACTGGGCACATGTGCGTGGATGCCCAAGATCCCAAGAGAAGAATGGAGGAAAAGGAATTGCCACATGGCCATCCCCCTTGAGGGGTGATTTCTCGTTTTCTGTCTGTCTCTCTCTCTGTCTTTCTGGTGAGCACACGTGCCCTATAGCAAAAACCTCTCACCAAAAAAAAAAAAAGAAAGAAAGAAAGAAAGAAAAAAAGCACACCTTGTCTGAAAAAAATAAGTCCTTTCTGAGAAAAACCTACAAGTCAAACACAGCTCACTTACTAACAAAATCAAAGACGAGTGCTATACTCTTCAGATCTCCAGAACTAAGCCTGGGGAAGATATTTGGCCAAATGCTCTTATAAATGATGTCATTGAATGTGTACATTTTCCATCACTATTACAATTTCAACAGGAAAGAATCTAAGGTGTTTTCACTTTGGACACCCACCACTCAAACCAGCAATCCCTAGAAAGCAATATACTATTCCATTCATGAGTGGAACATTCTTTCCTCATCAGCAAATTGGTAATGCAGGCAGTATGTTGGCTGTCCTGATGGTGCAGGCAATATGCTGGCATGGACTTTGGCAGCAGCTGTCAGCAAGTGAGCCCGTGGACACGCTGAGGGTCACCCTCCCCATGTCTTCTTCTCTTAATTTTACTCCCATGCCTCTCATTAAGATGGGAAGTCTCACCACCTCCATGCGGGGCTTTCTCAGCAGCTTGCTATCCTGTTCACTAGTTGGGTTGATTTATGATTTAATTTTATGGATGATATCACACAATTATCTCCAGATGGAATAATCAGGATGAAGAGCTGCCAACCCACATTAGGAATAAAGAAGGTTCTTCCAGCACCAGCCATTTCTGCTCTGTAATTATTTTTTGTTTTGACTTCATAAATTCATCCAGAGACACTGGGTGTTCTTTTCCAGCAGGGCCTCATTTGTCTAATTCAAATGAGATTATCTCACCCTGGTCCCCATATTTCTCTTATCACTCTGCACCCAACAGGGAGACACATAAATTATGATTTGTGGAGGGAGAAAATGTACAAAATCTAATCTGCCCAATTTCGGATGCACCCATGGATTAATCTTGATGAATTGTGAATCTTAAAGTTTTGATTTAGGCCAGCACTTTAATGAGGAGAGGAAGCAGAGGTGATAACCTACAGACTCTATTACACTGAAATCATTTAACTAAACCTTGCCAAGGAAAGCTGGAAATTGAAGAACAGTTGTAATCACTCTTGTCTGTTGCATTCCCCAAGCCTTCTAATGCTATGTGATCCTATGACCCCAAAAGACATTTTTTCTTTTATTTATTTTTTATTCCTACATTACGAAATTCTGAAGAATCAACCTGTCCAGGTCTTACCTATTTTTCTTGTTTCCTCTCAGGCATAAGAATAATTGCCTGAATACTTCTATTCAAAACATACCCCAATAGCCCATTAAAGCACCATAACCACCACAGTGTCCCTTGGTTGGGTGTTAGTGCTTACAAAAATAATAACACGAAACAACAACAAAACATACTATTAAAGCTCTAGACATTTGGTTGATTATTCATCTGTTTATTTATCAAATAGTCATTGTTATGCTGGATTATTTTCATGCTTGTAAGCTATATAAAGTTTCTTTAACCAAAGAATAATAACACCCTATTGCAACATCTAAAAACTAGGGATAGTGGAGCAAGAAGGAATAAGAAAATTAGATTTCAGGCTAGGGGTTATGGAGAAACAACTCCATTAGACATTTGTTAAAGAATTTATTTTATTTTATTTGTTTTTAGAGGTTTTTGCCTTAGGGTGTGTGCACTTGCTGGAGAGAGAGACAGAATAGAGACTCTGAGAAGGAAAGAGAGAAATTATGCCCCCAAAGGTATGGCCTTGCTGTAATTCCTTCTCTTCCACTCTCCTACTAGGATCTTGAGCACACACGTGCACACATGTGCCCAGAATGATTATTAAGCCACGGGTCCGGGACTTGAACCGCAGTCGGTCATTTGGGAGTCCAGTGAGGTAACTGCTGCACCACTTGCTGGCCCCTATTAAAGAATTTTTAATAATAGTGCTGAGGGAGACTTATCAGCATTGCCTAGGAGCTTTTTAGAAATGCAGATTCTGAGCCCCAGCACATACCTATTAAATCAGACACTGTGATTTGGGCCCACTAATTTGTAGTTCAAGGAGCCCTCCAGGTGATTGTGATGCAAACTGAAGTCACTGGAGTGTGGCAAAAGTGGCTTTTGAGGATTTGAGATGAACATTCTTATTTGCTAATATAATTATCTCCCTTTTGGAGTTGAGAATGCTTAAAGAGTGATCTCAGAAAGCTTGTAGTTCTCTTGAACGATAAATAATCTCAAATGTAATATAAAGGGGAGTCCAAAAAAATTGTCCCCACCTGACACTGCACTATTCCACCAAACTCAGGGAAGTTACATAGTATTTTACCGCAAGTTTTACCAGGTCTTTTCAAAAGTATGTCAAGACATTGTCAGGATTATTATGAATATAATTATACTTTTTTTTGAGAGATTTTTGCTATAAAGTGCATGCGCTTGCTGGAGAGACAGAGACATAAACCAAAAAATCACCCCCACTCTAGGGCATACTATTAAAGCTCTAGACATTTGGTTGATTATTCATCTGTTTATTTATCAAATAGTCATTGTTATGCTGGATTATTTTCATGCTTGTAAGCTATATAAAGTTTCTTTAACCAAAGAATAATAACACCCTATTGCAACATCTAAAAACTAGGGATAGTGGAGCAAGAAGGAATAAGAAAATTAGATTTCAGGCTAGGGGTTATGGAGAAACAACTCCATTAGACATTTGTTAAAGAATTTATTTTATTTTATTTGTTTTTAGAGGTTTTTGCCTTAGGGTGTGTGCACTTGCTGGAGAGAGAGACAGAATAGAGACTCTGAGAAGGAAAGAGAGAAATTATGCCCCCAAAGGTATGGCCTTGCTGTAATTCCTTCTCTTCCACTCTCCTACTAGGATCTTGAGCACACACGTGCACACATGTGCCCAGAATGATTATTAAGCCACGGGTCCGGGACTTGAACCGCAGTCGGTCATTTGGGAGTCCAGTGAGGTAACTGCTGCACCACTTGCTGGCCCCTATTAAAGAATTTTTAATAATAGTGCTGAGGGAGACTTATCAGCATTGCCTAGGAGCTTTTTAGAAATGCAGATTCTGAGCCCCAGCACATACCTATTAAATCAGACACTGTGATTTGGGCCCACTAATTTGTAGTTCAAGGAGCCCTCCAGGTGATTGTGATGCAAACTGAAGTCACTGGAGTGTGGCAAAAGTGGCTTTTGAGGATTTGAGATGAACATTCTTATTTGCTAATATAATTATCTCCCTTTTGGAGTTGAGAATGCTTAAAGAGTGATCTCAGAAAGCTTGTAGTTCTCTTGAACGATAAATAATCTCAAATGTAATATAAAGGGGAGTCCAAAAAAATTGTCCCCACCTGACACTGCACTATTCCACCAAACTCAGGGAAGTTACATAGTATTTTACCGCAAGTTTTACCAGGTCTTTTCAAAAGTATGTCAAGACATTGTCAGGATTATTATGAATATAATTATACTTTTTTTTGAGAGATTTTTGCTATAAAGTGCATGCGCTTGCTGGAGAGACAGAGACATAAACCAAAAAATCACCCCCACTCTAGGGGCATGGCCAAGCCATAATCCCTTCTCCTCCACTCTCCTGTCAGGATTTGGATCATGCGCATACACATGCCCAGCATGAGTTTTAAGCCACCATGTCTGGGACTCAAACCATGGTCAACCATGTGGGAGTCCAGTGATGTAACTACTACACCATCTGCTCATTCCCTCTTATGAATATAATCATACTCACATCAACATAA